TATTATTTAATATTTTTTCATTAATATTTTAAAACCCTTTTTCTATAACATAATCTACCTCTTTTATTCTTATATAAGTATTACATGCATGAAATAATAAACTACCTTTTGATATATCGTTTTTTTATGTTTAAAACAGTCATTGGGGCAGAGAACCAGTTGTTAAATTATTTGAATCCCACCACTGCATATATTCTCAGTAAATCTGAATTGTATGCTTTCGGAATTATTTTGTCTTCTGGTTTTGTGCTTTGCTTATTAGGCCAAATGGAAACTAATTGGATGCAAGTAATTTATCCACCTTTCCACAGGCATTTTCTTTTTCAGCCATTCTTCTCATTAAGGACTTTTGTCCTGTCCTAATGTAACAATCGTACATGAAGAAGAAATCAAGACAGTCTGTTTATTTCTCTTATTGAATAAAACTCTTGATGGTATAGGCTTAGTATACTTAAATGGTACTATTTTAGAGTGACTGGATATGTCCCTCTAGCCTTGTTCCAGTTAAAAAGATTTTACTAACAGTACCAATAGTACCTATTGTAACTCTAACCGTTAAGATGATAACATCAGCAATTTTGGTACATGTGCTATCTTGTTTAATCTTCTGTTTTAAAAAAAATGGCACATGACAATTTCATTTTAGATAAACAAGATTTTCTTGTTTTGATATTTTAGAAAAGGATAGTATTTCATTATAGTTGGATTTTAAGTAGGCTAAGGGCTTTTTACAATGGAGATGTGTACCTGTCGTGAAGCCATTGTTTGATCATCTTGTAATAAGCATAACCACTTAAGAATTACTTTGCATTACAAATATGAAATATTATTTTTGTAATGATGATGATGATGACGACGACGACGACGATAATAATAATAATAATAATAATAATAATAATAATAATAATAATAATAGAGTTGGAAGGGACCTTAGAAATCTTCTAGTCCAACCCTCTGCTCAAGCAGAGAACCCTATACCATTTCAGATAAATGGTTGTCCAGTCTCTTCTTAAAAACTTCCAGTGTTGGAGCATTCACAACTTCTGGAAGCAGGTTGTTCCACTGGTTAATTGTTCTAATTGTCAGGAAATTTCTTCTTAGTTCTAGGTTGCTTCTCTCTTTAATTAGTTTCCATCCATTGCTTCTTGTCCTGCTTTCAGGTGATTTGGAGAATAGCTTGGCTCCCTCTTCTTTGTGGCAATCCTTGAGATATTGGAACACTACTATCATGTCACCCCTAGCCCTTCTTTTCATTAAACTAGACATACCAAATTCCAGCAATTCTATATGTTTTAGACCAGGGGTCCCCAACCTGCGGTCCGTGGACCGGTACCAGGCCGCAGCATGCCAGCAACCGGTCTGCACAAACAAGCAAAGCCCCATCCACAAGATGTAGGCAGCACACAAAACCACGCATCCTCCGGTCCATGGAAAAACTTCTCTCCACAGAACTGGTCCCTGGTGCCCAAAAGGTTGGGGACCTCTGTTTTAAACTCCAGTCCACTGATCATCTTTGTTGCTCTTCTCTATATTCTTTCTAGAGTCTCAACATCTTTTTTACATCGTGGTGACCAAAACTGGATGCAGTATTCCAAGTGTGGCCTTACCAAGGCATTGTAAAGTGGTATTAACACTTCACGTGATCTTGATTCTATCCCTCTGTTAATT